TAAAAACAAAAAAAAAAAAAAAAAAAAAAAAAAAATACCAAGTACCGCCAAATCCACCCGCTATATCAACGCATACGATATCCTTTGCGCTGAATCCAGCCTCGACCAAACGGCAAGCGTAGAGGAGGCCACAGTGCCCAGCCCCGTTGACTAGAAACTTTACGCTATCTCCATCCTTGAGGGGAGGACTCTGGATCTTTGGGTCGTTCCAATCTACCCATGGGTCCTTGGCAAGATCTTGAATTTCTTTTGATCGGGTATCAATGTAGTCGACGATAGCTGCATCCGCAATGCGTTTTTCGCGCTCTTTCTGGTATTTCTGGAGCAGCTCCTGCTCGTCAAGCTGAGCATGAGACATCGCAAATGGTTAAGACAATAGCAAGTGGCTAAGAAAAGGATAGACTTGAAGTATGTTCTGATGTTCGAATTCGAGCTTTTCGGGAGAGCTGGCTTGCGTTGACTTTATGAATAATAATTTTGGACTTTAGTATGTAGCGCTGTAATCTATATCCCTACGCAAACTCCTTTATTTCCACGAGTGATTTTGTCATACCCACTGACCGTATTCCACAACTCAATACGGGATCCGCCCCACTTAGTATCGAAATCAGCGCATTTTTCGGCTCAAGGAGTAGTTAGGTCCCTAGTCTACATCGTTGGCGAGCCGGCCAGCATCCGGATGCCGAAGCCCAATACAATTTGATGCGGGGCAAGCCGGGAGCATCCGAAGGGCCGAAACTCCATAGATCCTGATGTGAAGCTGGTGTCTAAGTCTTTCGAGACGCATACGGCATTTCCAAGGAAGATGACCCTTGAGTTAATAAGGGAAAGGCATAATTCGCTTTTTGAAAATGCATTATGATAATATAATCCATAAATCTAAATGTATTTTGCCCTACCACTCATAATAGGGTAGCGAATATGCTCTATGCTAACCATAACGTGTCCTTAGTTCTAGCATACCTATTTTTTTAGGTCTCTGATGTAGGTAGCAACTTCAAGAATAGTAGATAGAGGCAACAGTTCGCTTAATTCTTCTTATTCTAGAGATTCGTCGGCCTAAATAACGATAGCTGGCTGGGCAAGATACAGTTGCAGACATGGGGTACGAGGGGTTCTCCGCAATGCACGCGTCTAGAGCACTAGGATAGCTCTCGCGGAAGCGAAATGGGCGGATATCTCAGGCAAGCGAAAGGGCTAGTTTCTTAGCGCTCTACCACTTGATCAACTTGACACGCAGCTGCAACTTTGCATGTAAGGTCCAACTTCCTTAAGATCTAGATAGCTATTAGAATCGTATATCGTAATACTTTAAATATTTTATATTTGTTCAAACGTTGTTGTTGTGCTGATATCTAGCGTCCAAAGTGACTACTTTTGGTGGTGGTTTGGTGTTGTTCGGCTATCCGTGCCAAGGCGTAGCTTAGTAACAAGCTACGTCAGCTGCGCTGACACTCGCCGCAGGCGAGTGCCGACGCTCTAATTACCGTCAAGAAAAACACGACAATAGCGAGTATTGCAATCCTTGGAATTAACGCAGTATATCGCACTTAAAAGTTAGCCTAACACGCTCTACGACCCGTCAGCACTTTAGAAGCAGCGCCCACTGCCACTGAAGCGTTATGGCGACGCCGTGGCCGCGAAGGGCGACATGGCCTACCCCGCTACGCGAGCATGCTACTTCCCTTGGCACCTTTCTTCACGACGTCCTGGAGGCTATTGAGCGCAACGGCAGCCAGACCGTGCTAGCAGACCTCGCCGGAGATGTAATCCGCGGCGCGTTAACGCTCGTCTTAAAAACGCAATATACGCCTGACCTAGACACAGTCCGCGACGCCCTCGCAGTCGCACAAACTGAAGCTAAAACTAACGCAGAGCAGACCGCGCAAGCCCTCGACCAGATCAAGGGCGAACTTAAGAACACCGTAGATATTGTGCAACTAGTAGCTGCTAACATGCGACAGAACGCTAGTACAGTAGAAGAGGCGAGAGCGGCAGCCAAAGAGGCGACACAAGTGGGCAAGGCTACCCTGGAAATGGCAAGAGAGATCAAGAACAAAGCACCACAGCAGCAGCAGACGAACGGGCCAACATCGTATGCTGCAGCGGCAGCAAGAGGCCTTCCACTAGCAGGTACATACAATACACAGAGTCGTAGAGCACCTATCGTGCAAACACAACGTAAGGTTATCGTAAACATTAGAGATCCACTCACTATACAGGCCTTGCGGGTAATAAACCCACGTAACCTTAAAGCCCACGTTAAGCGTGCAATTAAGTAGAGCGGTAATGAGAACATTGTAGGCGTGAAGATCGTTTCCTCTAACCAGCTCAAAAGCGGCGACCTCAGCGTTAAGGCAGCCACCAGCACCGAGGTCGAAGCACTGCGGCAGTTCGCAGACGACTGGGCCGCGCGCATCAGCCACGGCGCCAGCATACAGATCCTAACGTACGGCGTGCTCGCCCACGGCATACGCACTAGCACAATGAACATGGACAGGTTCAAAAACAACAGAAGCCAGATCTTGCAGGACAACAGACCGTTCATCCCGCAGGCTGAGATCCGCCACATAGAATGGCTAACTAGAGACGCTACCGCCAAGACTGCATCGACCATCACGATTGAGTTTACTCGACCAGAAGACGCCAACAAAATTATTAACAAGGGTCTTGTCTAACAGGGCGAGGTGTTCTAGTGCGAGCGATACGAGCGACAGTGCCGCGTGAAGCAGTGCTTCAAGTGCCAAAAATACGGCCACATAGGAACCCAGTGCAAGGCAGCAACAGCATATAGCTTCTGTGCGCAGGAGCACGACACCCGAGACTGTCCAGCCAAGTCAGACCGGACTATAGCCAGGAAGTGCACGCTGTGCCGCGGCGAGCACGAAGCGTGGAGCCGACAATGCCCTACTAGGAAGGACGAGATGGCCAAAGCGAAGATGGCCTACAACACGCGGCCGCAGTATCACTTCGTACTGGAGATGAGGGGAAGAAACGTACAGCCCGAAATGCCTACTACTATCCTTAGAAGCAGGTCTAGTCAAAACATAGCGCCGATACAGCCTACGCAGCCCATAAGGAGCCGGTCGCAGGCTTAACAAGAACAGAAGCGGACTAACACAGGAACTGCAATCGATACGACAGACTAGGAGAACGCGTTACCGGCAGAGATAAGTAGTTAGCGACTATAGAGAACGATTATGCCGAGCCGCAGAGCATTAGAGGCGATCAGCGCCAACGTGCAGCTAACTTAAAGCAACACCCAGCATATAAAGATCGACTGCGAGATAGAAGCATGAATTAGTACAACACACTAAGCATACTACAGTACAACGTACGCAAGTCGAGGGATATGGTAATGGCGACGCTGCTGCGAGACCCCTGGATACACGAGTACGACATTCTGGCCATACAGGAGCCATGGAGGAATCCGTACATGGCGACCACTCACCACCCAGCAAAGGACGTTTTCCACCTCTGCTATCCGACGGCAGCAGATGAAGAAGGCCCAGCGAGGGTCTGTTTCTTCGTCAATAAGAGAATTGACCACAATAGATGGCGCTTCAAGGAACACTCGAGAGACGTCTGTTCTCTCGTCATTGAGCCTAGCAGGGACCAACAAGAGCAGCAGAGTGTGGCGATCCACAACATCTACAATGTAGTAGGAGGTGGAGGTCCCACAGGCTCTACGCTTGTAGACATCCGCGCAGTCCTCGAGAAGCACAACAGTAATGAGTAGATCCTGCTAGGCGATTTCAATCTGCATCACCCTTTGTGGGGAGGTTAGAACGTTAGACACATTGACCTATAGGCAGAAGACTTGATAGCAATCATAGAAGACTTTGACCTTAGCAATACGCTAGCGGCCGGAACAATCACATACGAAGAAGCGGCACGGCAGACTACTATTGATCTATGCCTCGTCACTATCGGCCTCGTCGACAGGATAATCAGAAGTGAGGTAGACCGCGACCTCAACCACGACTCTAACCACCTACCAATAAGCACAGTGCTCGATATGGCGGTGCAATCTATGCAAGAGACGACAAAGAGGAACTGGAAGCGCATAAACGAGAAGACGTACCTAGAAGACCTAAAAGCGACTCTGCCGCCACTACGCAGGCCAACGACTAAACTAGCACTCGACAACTACGTCCGCGACGTGACTACTGCTATTAAGACAGCAGCAGAGAAGGCGACTCCGCAGGTATGCATCTCAGCTCGGGCAAGAGAAGGATGGACGGCGGAATGCAAAACAGTACTAGCGGAGGCGAAGAGGCTTAAAAGGCGGCACAGCCAACACGGCACAGAAGAGACGTGGCAAGCGTATCGAGAAGCGAGAAACCACAAAGCTAGAGTAATTCGCAAAGCAATAACTCAGATGCATAGAGATAGAGTAGAAGAGGCAGCGCAGTCGCCAGAGAAGCTATGAAAGCTCGCAACCTAGGCCAAGACAAGAGGCAGTGTGGCCCCTAGGGTCACACCTGCCATACGACACCCAACAACAGAACACGAAGTCACAGAGCCAGCTGATAAAGCAACTCTATTCCGAGATGTCTTCTTCCCCGCCCCACCAGCAGCAGACCTAACAGACATACAGGACGCCGAGTACAGCGGCCAGATCGAGTTCCCCACAGTAACGGAAAAGAAAGTAAGAGACGCGATCCATGCAGCAGCACCTTTCAAGGCCCCTGGGCCAGACAGTATAGCAAATCGAGCGCTACAGGTAGGAGAGAGGCTGATTACCAAGCACCTCACAAGAATAGTCAACTACAGCCTGCGCCTAGGATACTACCCTTCTCACTTTCGCGAGTCGACCACGGTCGTCCTGCGCAAGCCAGGCAAAGACAACTACACCATACCCAAAGCATACCGGCCGATCGCGCTACTTAACACAGTCAGCAAAGTCATAGATGCTGTTATTGCCCAACGACTTAGCCACTTAGTTGAAACAAAGCACGTGCTGCCTAACACACATATAGGCGGCAGGAGAATGCGCTCTACTAAACACGCACTGCATGCTGTCACAAGCAGGATCTACCAGGCGTGGAACAAAGGCGACGGCCAGGTAGCTAGTCTTCTACTGCTCGATATCTCGGGCGCCTTCGACAACGTTTCGCACCCACGACTGCTCCATAACTTACGGAAGCAAAGAGTAGATAAGAAGACAGTTAAGTAGATTGCAAGCTTTCTCAGCAACAGACACACCAGAATCGCAGTAGATGGCTTCACATCACAAGAGTACGCAATCAACACGGGCATACCACAGGGCTCGCCGCTCTCACCCATTCTCTATCTCTTCTACAACGCCGATCTCATAGACGAGTGCAACAGAGAAGCCAACACAACGTCCACAGAATACATAGACGACGTGGCTATCCTCACATAGGGCAACACAGCAGCAGAGACATGCAGCACACTAAGTCGCGTGCTCAAGAAAGCACAGCGGTGGGCCATCACTCACGCCTCAGTCTTCGCACCAGACAAGTTCCAGCTGACTCACTTCACACGCTCACGCACACGCATCAACAGAAGCAGAACAGTGCAGACCAGCTGGGGCGAGGTGACGCCTAAGCCAACGTGCAAGTATCTAGGCCTAACTATAGACTCGAAGCTGCAGTGGAAAGAACATATGGAAGAGACCAGACGCAAGGCGACAAAGACGGTCAGCGCGCTCAGCTGCCTCAGAGGCTCAACGTGGGGCATCACGCTTACAGACATGCGGAGACTATACGAGGCCACAGCGCTGCCACAGATGATGTATGCCTACTCCATCTAGTCGAATACCAGCGTCAAGGGCAAAATATACACGAAGAAGACACTTAACATCCTGTAAAGCATACAGGCAAGAGCAGCAAAAGCTATATACGGAGCATATAAAGCCACGTCCAAAGCAGCACTTAACGTCGAAGCACACCTCCTACTAATTAAGCAGCAGATATGGAAGCACAACGCCAACGTTATTATTCGGCTTCTCTCGAGCAAGCACATAGCATACATTTTAAACCTTAAGGTGAGCAGAACACAACCCGCTAGCGTAAACATACGCCGTATTAGATACGTCGACTCCTAGCAGAAGATATATAATAATATAAAGGGTCAGCGCAGATAAGATCTCGAGATGCAGAAGCTAATTCCACCCTTTATCACTTCGCCTTAGCGACACGGCCCAAAGACCCACATAGACAAGAGCGCTAATAAAGCATGTAGTCGACATGACAGAGAACATAAGAAGAACTAGAGCCTTAGTATCTATACTAACGGCAGCGGCATAGATAGCGAGATTGGGGCTGCAGCAGTATGCCCACTTATACAGCAGACCCGCACAGTACATATAGGGCTAGACACGGACTCAACAGTCTACGCTGCCGAGCTACAAGGCATCAGCCTCGCACTACAAATAGCATAAAAGTACGCAGAGCGAGGAGGTAAGAGACGGAAGGTAGCTATCTACACAGACAACCAGGCGGCCATATAGTCAGTAGCTAAGGCTGAAGGCCAATCAGGAGCATATATTCTCGCAGACATTGCAGAACAGGTCAAGACACTCCAGAACATAGACCGGCCAGTAACAATAAGGTAGATCCCAGCCCACACCGGCATCCCAGGAAACGAAGCTATCGACAGGGCCGCCAAAGAGGCCACAGGATGGAGAGAGAACGGCCGCAGACACCCGCCAGCAGACGCACCGCCCAGGCTCTACCCAATCAGATCGACCGTCAGACGCTGGTGCAGGACTCAAACAGAGCGAGCGTGGGCAGCTAAGTAGCGAGCAGAGGCGAAAGGTCGAGCAACCTACAGACACACACCATAGCCTTCCAAGAAAGTACTTCAGATCCACGAAGGCCTTACTAAACGACAGAGCGCGCTACTAGTGCAGCTGCGCACCGAGAAGATAGGCCTACGCGACTTTCTCTTCACCTAAAGAGTGCCAGAGGTTACTAGCCCCCGCTGCTAGTGCGGGGAGAGGCGATAGACTATCGCCCACATCCTGCTCCACTATAGGACGCTTAAGGACCTCCGGAACTAGGTATTTAGCAACCTCCGTGGACGAAACAACCTCCGGGCTATCCTAAGTAAGCCACAGCTAGCTACTAAAGCTATCTAGTTTGTAGAATAAGCGCAGATTCTTGGGCATGTTGGGATCAAAGACGCGTAGACGACAGCTAAGCGCTGAGGGGAGACTGTAGGTATCGCGGCCGCAAAATATAAGGCAGCACGCCTCTACGAACCTATAAGCACAGCATACTGTTAGTAGAGCTATTATCTAGATAAGGTGGCAGCCAGATTGTAGATAGTGGTGAAGAGGAAACGGCAGGCCTCTAGGAACAGCTAGCTCCCATAAGGGAGTGACGTAGGGCGGCGCGGATTAACGTCTGCGCGGCGTCGGCTGTTGGCTACGCTAGCTATGCCGGGCATAGCTGCGGTAAAAACGTGGCTGAAACTAAGTAGGACTAAATCAATCAATCAATTAATCAACCGACGCTCTAAACGATATTACCTTCTATACGATATTTTTTCGTGTAAACTAGATATATTATTAAATAACTACTTAACCACTCTAGTTCTTATACTAATTTTCGTACGATAGTAATCTAGCAGTACGCATCAACGTCTATACACGCTGTAATTATTCGTGTACTAGTTTATAAGCTTAGAAATGCCGCTTCGTTTTTATAACTAGTATGCCCTTTATCTTAGAATATTTAAACTATAGCTAGCTTAACTCAGCTATAAGCTTATTTTAAACCATCTTTCGTGCTGAATAGAAGTAAATAACTTCTATTAAAGATTTAAGAATTGTATAAGTTCTTTGTTAGCGTAATTGCCGTAATTATATAACTAAAGTTATAGTGCGCAATTCGCTAATTACTTAATCTCTAGTAATAGATATATTATACGCTCTAAATAGCGTACGTTTTACGTTATTACTAAGCTACTTATTCTCTAGATAAAAGTTAATATTGCGCTTAAGCGTCCGGATTATTAGAGGCGTGTTTAGCTCTAGTAGTAGTGGTGTTCTATCTATAGTAGCGTCGCTACTACTATCACTACTACTACTAGTATCTTGGTAATTAGCGTTCTAATTAGCAAAATCTCTCTATATATTATTCTTAACGCGCTTTATATCTAATAGATATAATTCTAAGTCTCGCTAGCCTTTTTATATTATATAGGGCTTAAATGTATAAGTGCGGATTGACTTAATAGTAGTTAAGAACTTAACTTTGTTAAAAGCTATATAGCCTATTTAGGTTATATAGTTAATAGCCTGCGCGTACTAGTATTTATACAGCTAAAAGTAGCCTATATTAAGTAGTTAGAGAAAGTAAGATATATATAGAGGTAGGCGATAGGCAATAACCTTATAATTCTTAAGGACTTCTAGAAACTCTTAGGTATAGTATAAATTAAATCTGTTGAATAACAGCAGCCAATATACCCCTTAAGTATGCTTTTAGCTCTATTATACGAAGTGCTTTACCTACTTATAACTTAATTAATCGTTTATATAGCTACTATTACTATACGCAATTAGATAGTTATTAGGTAAATTAGTAAAGTAGCGCTTAAGGAGCGCGTCGCCTTAAATAATAATTATTAGTAGGATAGCGTAGCCTATAGTATTAACGTACTTAGTTATAGTTAATAATATACGATTATTAGGCGTTAGTAGATATACGCGGTGGTAAGGCTTAAAAGTAATAACTTACTAGTCTTTTCCAATTCTAATGCGAAAGCTAGTCTTATTAAAGTTCTAGATATCTAATAGTAGGATACTATGCGTCTGAATTAGGCTTATAAAGGTATTAAACTACTTAATAATAGAGTCTGAATTATACGTAAGTGCGCAATTAAGATTAAGAGATCGCTATCGTTATACGTAAAGCTTAGGTTACCGTTTAAGCTATTATTTTGCCTATCGCGAGCTTATAGTTAGTAGAGGACTAGAACTATTGTAAGCTTATTAAAGAAGATAATTAGCATACAATATAATTATAGGTAGTTATATATAAACTCTAAGCTTATTAAGGCATGCGATATAATTATATAGTACTTAGTCTTACGCCTTAGTAAGCTTATATATGCTAGAAGGGCGTTTAGAATATATTAGGCGGCCCTTTAATTAGGCGAGTAATGTCACGGCGCTGGCTGAGTGGCCGGCGCGCGATCGTCTGATTGGCTGCCGACAGAATCCGGGTGAGGGTCCGAGCACCCGGATTCTGCAAAACCGCCGCAACTTCACTAGTGTAGCTCTTCGAGCTACGTCCTGTCTTCTACTCTATACTACCTGTAGTGAGAGCCTGTTGATTAGCTGTAGCAATAGAACCTGTACACGCGCCTGTCCTCTCTGCCCGTGAGCCCGTACCGTGACATTACGTAGCTCCTCCCCACAGGCCCGTGTATTTCACCGCCATGAACCGCCCCGAGCCCCCCTCCTTCCCAGAGACGCCTGACGAACTCACTGCTAGTGTAGCAGCGCATCCAGGGGAATGGCTAATGTACTTACGCAACACTGCCCAGTATACCCAGAAACTCGAGAAAACCACGCCGCGTCCCAGGACCAGGAGCAGTCTCGTGCGGATCCAGGTCAGGAGAGAGA